TTTGTTTCAATCAGTGTTTACTCTTCAGAAACGTTCTGTTAGGTATATTTTTGGAGCAGGTCTCAGAGCTCACTGCCGAGAATTATTTAGGAGGGGGGAATGTTAACCTTAGTGGATCTCTTTATCTTAGAGACTGTCTGTTTAGTTCACAAGAGGTACCAGGGTACTACACATGCGCACTCCTATCCAACAAGGAACTACAACCTGATACCTTTGCCTATACCAAGGTTCTCTCTAACTCAGGATTCTCTGATTTATAAAAGTATACAAATGTACAATAAACTACCATTAAATTTAAGAACGGATCAAAATTATAAATCTTTTAGAAATAAGGTTAAAAGTTTATTGGCAGATAAAACATTTTATTCTCTTGACGAGTATTTTGATGACAACCTTTAACAGGATCTTGTGTCTGTATCGTGATGTAAGTGTCTAAAACTCAACTTTATGTTTTATGTTTTATACTACTTGTAGGACAGGGTCTACCTGATTTAGTAATAGATTCACAATGCCATAATAACTGATGTGTTCTAAATTTTAAAAATGTTACAAATTTACTAATAAGTACTGAATTTTTCTTTTATTGTTAGTCATTTTACCACCTGCTAGTGCCACTGCTGTAGTGTCTTTTTTACTTGTTATCTGTTCTTATATTTTATATTATTAAGGATGTTGCTTTGTCAATAGAATGTACTATAATTTTCTGACAATAAAGCATATTTGAAATTTGAAATTTGAACTGCCCCCCCCCCCCCCTTTCAAAAGGCCTGTATCCGCCCCTGAATCACAAACCAGTCAGAGTGAATGTCATTGGTTGAAAACAGTCAGAAACAGTAGAAAACTAGTTTCAACCAATGAAATTCACTCTAACTGGTTTGTGATTTCTGCAGAAACAGACCTAGTATTGTCTATTGTCAAACCAAATAAACTTGTAGCAAAGTACATACCTGACCATAGAAGATACTATCGAATATTGGGCTCGGAATCCTGGCCCTGTAGCCATCTACAATCTGTTGCACAATCTCTGTAATGGGGTGGTGTAGATTCATTTGTTGATGAAGGGTTTAGAAAAGTATAAGAAACTTGGTTATTACAAATCACATTGAAATGTTGCTTAAATCTTTTTTGTTAATGTTCCTCCCAGAACTATTTCTTATTGCAACACAAACAATATATTGAAAAGAGACATTGAAAAAAACCCCCAGAAACCTATTCCCAGGCATATTCCATAGCGCAAATGGGATTCAATGAGTGCAAATTCCAAAGTATGCATTCTTTGCTGTTCCAGGATCCAGCTTACTCGCAATTACTCTGACTGCTAGATGACAACTTTTTTTTATGTATGCTAAATGGGACTCAAATTTCAATCGATGTACATACACTCCTATAAGCTTACTCGATTTTTGACTGGCAACAGTGTCTCCTCCCAAAGTACCTAATTTCATCAAAATGTTAACATATTGGTCTTTGAAACATTGAAAGTCAAATAATTCGCATCATTCTATTCTTTTACCCTCGCTTTTACCTAAACTAAATCCATTATTAGGCCTATTCGGGTTTGGAAAAAGGACGGTTCTAGAACGGTTCAAAACAATCACACAGTTTATTATTGAAATTTCTGATAGCCGAGTTGTTGTCATTTTGTTGATTGATGAACTGGCCGATTGTTTTGAACCGTTTTAGAACCGTCCTTTTTCCAAACCCGAAAAGGCCTACTACTGACATCAAATTTAAGCTGTTCTAAGTCCTTATTTAGTGGCATCATCTGCAAACAGTGTGAATACCCCAGATACTTATATCAATGGTAGATAGATCGTTTATATACAATAAAAATAATAAAGGTCACAAAACAGACCCTTGTGGAACATTTGCACTTATAGCTAGTAACACGATCAAAAGTAACTTTCTGGGGCCGTTCAGTGTGAATAGGTACACAACGAAGGGTTAGTCACAACCTATTTAAGTGTTCAAGAGATATTTTTATGCAAAAGAGGTCTACCGTCTACAATCAACAATTTGACAGTCTGGATCACCACATTCTTTTGGACAAGCTCAAAATATATGGAGTGGCAGGCTCTGCTTTGCGCTGGTTAGAGTCATATCTTGTGAATAGAACACAAATGGTAACTATTCAAACGAACGGAAGGGTTGTTTGTTCTGAGAGCAAGAAGGTAACCAGGGGCATCCCACAGGGAAGTGTTATTGGCCCTATTCTCTTTGTGCTCTATATTAACGATTTTTCATCTCATATAACCAGTGATCATGTAAAGACAGTCAATTTTGCTGACACAAATGTGAGTGTCACTGCAGATGGCCTCTTACAACTCGAAGAGCAAGTATCTTTCTGTTTGTACCTGACGTCATTATTTTTAATATAACTACAAATCGAGTACACAATAATTATTAAGACAAACGACAATAGTCCCTTATTGTGGTCGAAGATAAAATGTTGTATATCGCACGTACGGTAAAGGGCCCCACAGACTGCGTTTTTGTTGGACGGTTTTGTTCGACGAGCAAATCTGGTCGAGCAAGAACAACGCAAAACCGAAGTATGTGTGCGAAAAATTGTCGTTTTTGCTAGCATACAAAACTGATGCAAATATCTAGCTTCGCCTGATTTTGTCCGTCGGATATGTTCGATTTGTCGACAAATCTGAAGTGTGAGGGCTACGAATTTTAAACACGACGGTTTTGTGTGGTGTGTGTTGCGTAGCTATAGAATTTTATACTATTAACTTATTGAAAAAAAAACAAAAAAAAATTAAAAACTTTTCAACATGACTGATCTTCGCCAAACTAAACCGAGGTCTGTGTGCAACTCCGATCCGTCGTTTTTGCTCGACCAGATTTGCTCGTCGAACAAAACCGTCAAACAAAAACGCAGTCTGTGGGGGCCTTAAGGCTCATTACAACACCCGCATATTCCCCACTCGTTAATGTAATGAAGCTCATACTGTACTAGTAATATAAATAACTATTATTCACACGTGTTTCGCTCATATAGGAGCATTATCAGACCTACAAAATAATAGGTGTGTTCACACAGAAATCAGAAACCAATCAGAATGAATTTCATTGATTGAAACAACGAATGTTGAAACTACTTTTCTGGCTGTTTTCAACCAATGAAATTTGCTCAGCCTGGTTTGTGATTTTTGTGCTAACAGACCTAATATAGAACCTAATTAAAGTACACTGATTGGAATCAAACCCGTCAGGGTACGGGTTCAACTGGAGGTTTATAGTCACTGCTAAACTTACTTTTTATCAATTCAAATTATTCTAAAAAGTAACATTACTTTCTCCGTAATTGAATGCACTTTTTCCGAATTTGAAGTTTTACTGTTTCTGAATTTGAATTTACGTTTTCCGAATTTGAATTTACTTTTTCCGAAATCAACTTTACTTTTTCTGAAATTGATTCGACTTTTTCCGAAAATGACTTTACATTTTCCTAAATAAAAATTACTTTTTCCGAAATTGAGATTGAAATGGTGTAGAGATAACTAACTAGTAGTAACATAACTAAAAAAAATTTGCGCTAATGAACTAATAGATACATATACAATATTGTCAAATTGAGTTAACATAAAATCCTACAGAAATACAAAACCCCACAAAAACCCAATAGATATTTCCAAAAATTCGGACTTCTGCCAACTTTGCTTCCCAGACTTCCCCAAACCTCCCAAGATTTCCCTGAAATCTCCAGCAGAGTGTACACAGGATACCCCATTGTAAATGACCCTTCGGTACACAAGGATAGGTGATATGTTGGAAACATTAAATTGGCTTAAGTGTGCACAGACGAGGTGAAAGGTTTTTAAAATTTAATGCTCTTGCACAAAGTAAAATTAGAAAAAGTGACTTAGTAGTATGTTCGGGGAATTATTGTTCATACTTTTGAACAAATTTACATAATTATTTTACAAGAGGTAGACAAAATTATGTCTTGGCTGATTTAAGGAAAAAGCTCATCTCAAAATTTAATATTTTTCAAATGATTAGTGGCTACGTTACGTAAAACTTACTTCGTCTTGATCGAGTCCCATTTGCATTATGATGTGTGCTTTCGGAGTGTTTGCTCTAAGCGGCTTGTTAATAGCGTATTTATTTTGCAGAAGAGGGCAGTGAGATACGTATGCCGAGCAAAAGTTAGAGACTCATGTTGGCTTTTATTTCTGTCGGAGCGAATTTTGACGTTGCCAAGTATTTTTATGTTAGAAACTGCTTTTCTTGTGCAGAAGAAGCACGGGCAGGGTGTTGCTGACCTTCCAGAACATTTAATTTTTGTTTTTATGACTGTGTATTTTTTGACTGTGTTTTCATATTTTAAACAGTTTGTTTTTTAAGTGTGTGTCAGTGTTGTATTTTTTCTGGGATTTTATTTTATTGTTTTTTATATAACTAGTTTTAAGGCTTTTCATTGGGTTGTTTCTAGATTTAAGTTTGGCTTTTATTATTATTCAACCAGGTGTGATTCCCGTCAAAACTCATTCGTAAAAACTTGTTGGAACATTTTTTGTGGGATAGAAGCCATTTTTCTCGAATTGAACTGGACAATTAATCTTTGTGGCTGATTCGTTATTGTAAACCGTTGTTAACCTGACTTTTCCAATGCTCTGGGTTTGACAACAGAAAGCGCATAAATTATTGAGATCATTTGGTTTTTGATCTGATTGAATCTTATAAGGGTACAACTTGATGTATTTGCACTAAGATGCCACAAAGCTGTGAGCTGCACTCATGCAAGTATGACCCGGTATCTCGTCTGACAGAAGCTTTAACGTTCACCTATTCCTTGGTTCTCATTGATCTTGGATGTTCGTTTGTAGCCTCGAATTTCCAATGACTTACTTACTATCCCTACCATGTGCGCATTCTTACTGAATGCGCTTACCTCATTAATAGCCCACCCTGTATATCTCTGAAAAAATAATTTATAAAATCGTGAACATACTACTTGAATGCAAAATTAACAAACCAATTTTATTTAGATAAAGCAAGATCACGAGCAGCTCAAAGTAGCTTCCGCGTATCAAATAAACGCCCTGGAAAGTGAAATTGGCGCTCTTAAAGATGAATCCCAAGCTAGCAAATTTGAAGATGGCATCGAATCATCCGAAATGAAAAGAAAAATAATAGAATTGGAAACTATTTTACAAGCTGCACAAGAAGATGCGGAGGCTCAGAGAAATTTGGTAATAGAGTTAGGAAAAGAATTGAGTGAGAAAAACTCCATTGCTAGAGAACTGGAACTGAAAGAAGTTGCTCTAGTAAAAGCTAAAAACCAAATAAGAGTTTTGGAGAATGCTAAAGAAGATTATATGGAGTTTCAACAACAGGCAAAAGTAATTTAAATTAATAGTGAGTACAAAGTTACATTATAATTTTGTTTTACTTTTATTTTAGACTCAAGCACACAAACTGGCCAGATACGTGCAATTGGAAGAAGAAAATAAACAGCTGAAGGAGGATTTTTCGAGACTCAAGGGAGACTTGAAAAATAAACTTTTATTGGAAGAAGAAGTGTACGATTTAAGGAATCGACTTTCGAAGCATAAAGAGTTGGAAAAAAAGACTGCAGATTTACAGGTAAATAATTATTTTTGAAGTGAAACTTTTTTATACCATGTACGAAGTTCAAGAACACATAGAAATTAACCAGTAGTATCACAGTATCCTACTTACTTATGTGTTGATTTGTAAACATTTGATTTTATTTGATTCTTATATTTTGAATCTGTGTTTTCTCATTTCGACAAAGTACTCCTTTCAAAACTGCTAGTGTATAACTTTTAAAAAAAGGTTTGAAAATAATGCTCCATCAATTATTATGTGGGAGAAAGTATATAATTTGATTGTTTTTTCAAAGGTACAATGTGACCGAAATCAGATGCAATTGGCTGAATGGAAAGCACTTGCACGAGGATTTTGTGAAACAACAGAAAGTGACGTAATGTTGCCCCATTTACTGAGGTCTGCTATTGAACGACTCCAACAACAAGAGCTAACTCTTACATCAGAAAAGGTTGAATTTGAAAGTCAATTGAAATCCGCACAACATGCTGCTAAAGTATCCAAATCTGAGCTCGAGAAAAACCAGAAACTTCTTAGAGAACTCAAAACTACAGGCGATCAAAAACAGAATCTAATACACCGTATGCAAAAAAAATTGCTTTTGGTAACTAGAGAAAGAAATAGCTATAGGCTCCAATTGGACTCGTATGAACGAGATTTGACTATGGTTGCGGATACTTCTACCATGGGTAATTCCAATCTAATTCAAAGTCAGAAAGAACGAATTGATAATTTGGAAAAGGTTATTGATGACTATAGGGATATGGTGGCTAAATTGGAGAATGATTTGCAGGAGGCTCAGCCACAGTTACATGCAGGTAGGAATTATTACTGTTTTTATTTCATTTATTTGTTTATAAATATTATCTGCCCAAGTGGAAACCTTCTAGTGTACCTACCTAATGTAATATCGGGACTATTAATCTGCTCATTAGCCACTTGATTTTTTCTACACAAAAGTAGACATGTATTCTAGCAGAAAATCCAGTTTTAATTAAAAATATTCATTAAAAAGCCTTTTACTCTAAATTTTTTGTGATTGTATTTTGCTTGATATGCTTTTGATAAGTATATAACACATGTAGAAGTCAATAATCTGATGTAGCTAAAAGCTGTCATACTGTCTCCATACCTCAATGGTCTCCATATACATATTATCTATTTTTCTTTATTCAGATGTTGTACCTGTGAGGCTAGAACAAACCGCAAGGCTTCAGAGTGAGGTAGCTCATTTACAAGATGTCAACCAACAGTTGAGGGAACAAAAAGACCATCTTGAAATCAAGCTGGAGACATTGCTAGAAGGTGGATATTCTCATTAACTGTGCCCCATTTTACACTTGATATGTTTATTTTGTATAGGTCAAGATAGTCTACACGGCGGACAAGTATTTCATTTAGCCAATAATCCTTTAGCAGAACACGTGAATCAGAGAGTCCAAAAATTGGAAATGTTACAAGAAGAAAATGCACGCTTGAAGAATAAATTGAAAAAAATGGAAGAAGGCATTGAGACTAGCAAAATTGGTAAAAATGTTTTTTCATAAAACGCGAATTTGAATACCTAACCATTAAAAATAAATTCCAGGCGACCTATCTATTTGTCCCAAAGAAGTGCAAGCACTAAAAGAAAAAAATTTAAACTATGAAAAACAACATCAAAAGTTGAAGGATCTTTTCAAATCGTCGATGCAAGATTTCCGCAACGTAATTTACATGTTATTCGGCTATAAAATTGATAAATCAAACAGTTCTAGTACTTATAAATTGAGAAGTACGTACGCGGAACAGCAAGATGATTTACTTTGTTTTGCGGTAAATCAAGCGGGTGATCTGGATTTGTTGGCAACTGACTTCAGTTCCTCTTTGGAGCCCCTGATTGATTTGCATTTGAAACATCAAAACTCAATTCCTGTATTTTTGAGCGCTGTCACTATGGATTTGTTTAATCAAAAAACTATTACATAGAATTTTTGAATTAGTGTAAATATATGTATCTATAACGATTTGATAGAAATTAATTTTACAATTTTCTTTATTGTTCATTTACTAGTAGATTGTATTACGTGTAATTTGCAGTGTCATTTGGAAGTGACACACTAGGTCTGTTCGCAGAGAAATCACAAACCAGTCAGAGTGAATCTCATTGGTTGAAACTAGTTTTCTGACTGTTTCTGATTGTTTTCAACCAATGAAATGCGCTCTGACTGGTTTGTGATTGCTGTGCGAACAGGCCTTATTTAAAATGACTTTATTTCAATAATATCAATTAGGTTAAGGTTAGCAATTAGAAGAGTGTATGGAACAGGCTGTAGTTCTATGTTACAATTATTATTATTGTTTGCTCTAGCTAGAATTTGCTTTTTGTTATTTAAGAGTTAACTTCAAGCAAATGTATTTGGGATTAATAAAACTATATACCTTGATATTAATGACCATTACTGATATCCAAGGAAACTTGAAATATAAATAAAAACTTGGCAATAAGAAAGCAATAATTTGTTAATGTTTGTTTGTCTCTTTGGAATTTTGAAACTATACAATGATTTGTGGATTGTGGCTGCAACTTAAGTTACAATATTGGGTCGTCAACATTTCATTACTTATTTTTTAACTCATGTGATGTATGCAAAATTTTATTCCATTTCAATGGAATTTCAAAACATGAAGTACAAGGAATCAGGTTAGACCAATTCGTGGTAACCACATGTATGCTGTAATGAGCGCTACTGTACGTGTGATATACAACATTTTATGTACAACCCAGATTTTTTTATTTATTTACCTACCTATTATACAAATACAAAATATTTATTGGTGCCATAACAAAAGTTTTACACAAGTCAAAAAAAAGAGATTTGAGGTAAATAGTAATTAGGTGATATCACTAAAATTATTGGGCAAATATTCATGTATACTATTAAAACTTTTTGAAATAAGGTACTCTTCAATTCTTGTTTTGAAGCCTTGAATCCGTAAGGACCTTGTGTGGAGGAGCAAATTGCTATAAAACAAAGGTCCATAGAAAGATACCCCTGTTTTAATACAATTTATTCGATGAAAATCAGTGTAAATGTTGCTATTATTCCTAGTTAAGTAGGAGTGAACATTTTCAAAGCACCTCTCATAATCTCCAAGATTTGCTTTTACATGTAATAGATAGGCAAGAAATTGTTAAGATATTTAGTTTGTGAAATACATTTTACAATCCACTCTGTAGTACAAATCCTGTAGGATTCTTATTGCTCTTTTCTGGAGAGAAAAAACACAGCTCGCATCAGAGGCATGCCCCCAAATTTGGATACCATAAGATATCCTAGAACGGACAAGAAATTTTTGAACATATATACCGGGTGTCAACGAGATCGTTTTCGCTCTGGCATTTTTTTTATTTCTTTTCCAATTGAAATGAATTTCGGTGTAGAGTTTAGGTTTGGCAATTGTCATCTTTTGACATATGTGTAAGAGTCTAGCAACTTCCGGTTGTACCGGAAGTGACCATAGATAGCTTCATAAATTTAAATGGCAACCTAGTATTTTTTTAGTAGTTTTGAAATATTGAGATCATTCTGTATATGGAAATATCTAATTTGAAGCTGTTTGACAAAGTTTGAAAATTTTAAAATGAAATTTGAGTTTGGGGTTGAGACTACCAGGATTTGCCTGAAACTGTTTATTTTGGCTCACATAACTGTAGAAAAATGGAAATGCATTGTTTTCACTTATCGTTTGTCTACCAAAGTTGGCAAAATCTTATTGAATGTGACAACTTATTAAAATTAAATGAAACCACCCAACTTTTACATCTTAAATTGATAACTTTGCTTCAAAATAAGGCTAACGATGTATTGAATTTTCCCATTTTTAATAAATTTTCTCTAACTTCCAATTTGAAAAATATCGACAACCCCCAGTATCGGGAATGGTAAGAAACGGGTCGCCAATGTTGTCATGAAAGCCCATTGACAGGCAATATTTTTTGTATGGCTGTTTCGCAACTATGATTTTGTTTGAAACCTGATTGGTTTGCATATAATATTTTCTTTTCTGAAATATATTCGATAAATTGATCATAGATAACTTTCTCAATAATTTTTTCAAAAGTCGCCAGCATATTTATTGGTCTGAGTAGGTATTCACTGGTAGTTTTCACATCGCGGACTTTAGCTATTGGAATAACCGTTGATATAGTATGGTGTAGATCAAGACTTATTTTGACTTTGCCTCCCACTTCGGTGTCACAAGCTGAATTTTTTAGGGATGAAAGTACTTGGCAAGGTAACTCTTATTCCGGAGGTAATACAAAATTGGACTGTTCAAAAGGGCACTATCATCAAAAAACGAGATATTGATACCACCGTATAGAGGAAAAAATACTTTATTATTGGTCCAATACACAATAAGGTCTTTGTTGGGAGTATTTTTTTATATATATATAATTATTCAAAAAAAATAATTACCATTAGCTCTTATGGTCGAAAAAAACTTTAAACGTAAATATCTCGGTTTCAAGCGTGCAAAAATTTGGTTAAAGATAATCTTTTTTAAAAATACCTTTCATTTAACGAAAAACGAAGGCTTAAATGGAAAAAAAAAATTCTTTATAAAAGTTTCGCTTGTGTATTGTCTAGGTAACAGTGCAAACCACATATTTTTTGCTTCTAAATTAACAAAGATATAAAAATAAACAATAAGATATATCAAGGGTTTATGGGAGAGCAAGATCGGACCGCCGCAGTTCTCGACTCGTGTTGATACGTATGGGATCTCTTTTACTCTGTTACATTATTTTGTATAGGGATTATTAATTTATCTATTTAAAGCGAAGAATATTTCATAGGGTATATGAATTTCCAATAAATTGCCTTTGAGGAAAATAAAAAATAACAAGAAAAATTAATCCTATTATCAAAATACATATACAGGGTGTTTCACGAACATCGAAACAGAGACGTTTTAGGGTATTTTTAGGTCGATTAAAAAAAACGCTCGGACACGTCGATTTTGTATTCAAGAGGGAAACTTTTTGACCCTATCGGGTGGGGTGAATTTAACCCCTTCTTTTCAGATAGGAAAGATGCCGAAGATAGGTCGAGCAGTACCTTGTTACAAAGGTATTTTGATTCTTGTCACAAGTGCGCGTATTTTTTTTGAAAATCAAATGATTAGCTCTCAAGATATTCACTGTCAAAGTTGCTATGGGCTAAATAAGAAAACAATTTTCTGGCCCTGGTATTCTCAAATTAACACTTCTAGTATTTTTCACTGAATCGAGACTCTAACACAGTTTCAACTCCATCGACATAAAAAAGCAAGAAAAAAAAAATCCATCATTGTTGAACATTTAGAAAATGCTGTTAATTGAAAGATCTTCGAAACAAGATGCTACTCAGCCCACACCCTCTATCATAATAAAAGGGGTGAAAATCAGCCTCGATACAAAAGCAAAATAACATACAGGGTTTCAACGAGAATCAAAATTCCTTTAAAAGAAAGTAATTACCATTCGACCTCGATCTACCTTACTTATTTATCTTGATAGAAAGGGTGATATAATGAATAGAAACAAATTGAAATTATTAGAAAAGCGCTTCTGAAAAAATGAAAATTGACGTGTCCGAAAGGAAAGTGTTAATTTGAAAATAACAGGGCAAGACAATTGTTTCATATTTAGCCCTTGGCAACTTTGACAGTGAATATCTTGAAAACTAATCATTCGATGTTCAAAAAAAAAAACGCACTGCTTGTGATGAGAATCAAAATACCTTTAAAACAAAGTACCACTTAATACATTTCCCCTATCTAAAAAAGACGAGTGATAATCACCAACGATGGGGTCAAAAAGTGTCTCCCTTAAATACAAAATATCCTAAAACGCATCTGTTTCGATGTTCATGAAACACCCAGTGGCATGCCTGACGGGCCCGCAGGGCCCGCGGTGCGGGAGGGCCCCCAAATTAAAGAAGGTATTCTTCTCATACAAAATATTTTTTTTACTACTAACCTGAGAAGTAGTCATTATTCAATCTATTTTTCTCGGAAAAAATTGAATTTCTCTCCCTAGGTTAATAATGAAAATAATGAAAAAAAACCTAGGTCAATAATGAAAATGACGTCATGACGCAAGGATATTGTCATAACGTTACAGGTTTCTATTGGTTTAATTTCAATTTCAAACTGTCAGTTTAATCAAAAAAACAGGTTCCTGTATGTATCATGGGAAATTACCATAGATGTTGATAGAGGGCAGCACTTCCAACCAGAAAAAATAAATTGAGCGCAGATTTCAAACTTATTTTTTATTTTCCACTAGAGCAGTAGTAAAAAAAATTCTATATATTCCACGGTAGAGAAAGTCATTATATACCTTACGCATTATAAACCTCGGCGCTATGCGCCTCGGTTTATAAAAGCGCTCGGTATATAATGACCAACTTCTCTACCTAGGTATATAATGTACTATTTCCACTTATGTTAGTTCGAGTGTCAATTAAAGAAAATCTTCAAAGAAATCGAAGATTTCTCAATTTTTGCAACCATCGGATGCATTGGAAATGATAGTGATAATTTAGCGTAAAATCTTAAAACATAACTTTCTTTACGACTGACGTATAATGTAAGTATTATATTTGTGATTTTGGCAGTATAATGCCATATATTATTTTCGGGATTAATGGTCATCATTCCCGCTTGCACACCAATCCCAAAATTTCTCAAATTAAATAAAAAGTACTACCATGGAAACAATATACCTGAACAAACTCAAAAGTGTCAGTGTCAAACGCGTAGTGCTTGTGTAAAGTTTTTTTTTTAAAAAGATAAAAGTCAAAATGACATTATGTTGGCAATACAATGTAAAATTGTCAATGCTTTCAAATTTTTTATATAGAAAAGGCTTGTGATGCCAACATAATTACTAGATTTTTGACTTGGGGAATTATCTTTAAAAAAAAAAACAGACTTTATTTGTATTGAGATGGACGAACAAAGAGCGTTTTTGGAAAGGAAATTTCAAATAAATTAATTTGTCGTAAATAAAGTAGAGTATACAGTATACTACTCGCAATAATGGCTATTATTCCCTCGGAATGTTACTCCCTCGCCACTAACGCGGCTCAGTTCGTAAATATTTCTCGGGAATAACAGCTATCATTATTGACTCGTGGTATAATCTACTACATCTATATATATAAAAATGAATGCCACTTTTCGTTGTAATTTTATAACTCAAGAACGGACTTACCTAGCCAAACCAAATGTTTAGGCTTTGTTCGGACTATTTATTAGATGGTTTATGTGAAGTTTGCACAAAATCGGTCGAGCGGTTCTTCATTTATCACATTTTTTGTAATAAATTAATTATTCAATAAATGGAGCATCATTTTGCTGTCAAATTCAAACTTTTTTCAGCGTTGACAGTACCAGCATGTTGTTATGTCATTAATGTGGTCATTTCATTACTTATTTTATTTATTTATGAAAAAAATTTACTAAGCCCGCATACGGCGCCATGTCTTATAACCGCGATACCATGTTTATTTTGTATTTTATATACCGCGCCATCTCTGATACCTGGAACGAAGCTCGGCATTGCAGATACAGTAGAACAATGCTGCACAGAACTATTCCACTATTCCGATCAGATAGAGTGGTGCAGAAAGAGTAGGTCAGATAGAGTAGTGCAGATAGAGTAGAACAGATGGAGTAGTGCAGTGCATGCAGTGCAGATAGAGTGAAATAGGGCTGCGCTAGAGATTTTTTTTGTTTTCTTTACATTCTTTGAACATTCCTGTGCCTGAGTTTATTTATTTGGTGGTACACTTTACAAGAATAATGCCCACAAGCTGCCTAAAAAAGGATGATGTAAAATTTTAATTTTAGGTGCCTTCTGATCCAGAGAGTAAACATTAATTTTCTTCAACCAAAGCCAAATTCACCATCGAAAAAAACTGAATTTAATTCAGCTAATAGATACGTTAACACAACATTTAATAGGTATATTTAATAATTCAGAGGCGGTACGAAGTTCGCCGGGTCAGCTAGTATAATATAAAATCGTTTAATTTTTACTCCACCCCAGACTCCAACGCACCATAATTTTGCTCACACCGACAACACTGGCCGTGTTGTGTCATGGCTAATAATTTTTTTAATATTTTTTGTTTACTTTTATTTTTACCGAAACTGTTCGGGGCCCCCTAGGAAATCTCGCGGGAGGGCCCCCAAGAAACCCGGCACGCCCCTGATCATTGCCACCTTTTCTCCTCTACAAGATTACAAGATCAAATTTGAAATCTGACGTTTTGTCTTTGGGCTACCATCATCAACTTCATTTTTTTAAATATGGACCCTTATTTTTTATTTTCGAATTCATAAGCTTCTGATGTCCCAAAACCAATGACGTATTGCACCTATTCAAAAAATTTATATTATTGGTACTTTCCATAAGAACTAAATGTGTTAGAGAGAGACAGAGAAGAGAATTTTGGTAGGAAATTACTAAGAAGTAGAAAAAATATTTTTTTGAATAAATGCGATACGTCATAGGTTTTGGGACATCAGAAGCACTAAAAATCTGGAAGAAAAAATCCAGGGTCGTATTTAAAAAAATAGACTTGATGATGGTGGCCCAAAGACGAAACGTTAGATTTTAAATTTGATGGTAGCATCTTGTAGGGGAGAAAAAATGGCTACAATGAAGTCATATTTTTTTTGGAATATCACTTCAAATAAAGTCAGGAAAAAATAAAAACAATTTTGCAAAATTTCGGTTTTTTCCGAATATCTCCGGAAGTATTTGAAATATCCTAAATATCAAAGCGGCATTTTGTTAAGCATCAAATTACGCTACGTTTTTGAGATCCCAATGATGTGGCTCAAATTTGCAACACCCTGTACTTATCTGCAAAATTAATATCAAATTTTCAAAAACAAAAGTGAACACGTTTTATTTTCTAGGTGTTTATTTTAAAATTCCTGAAAATTAAAATATAGGCATTTAATTAATTCAACAAAAATCCTCATCTTTTCAAAGCTTTTTTCATTCTAATATGCTTTTTTCGCTTGTTTCCTCCAATTTTCTTCTTGAACATCCTATTTTTCCTTTCTGTATTTCTAACTTTAGCTTTGACGATCCCTTTAAGTTCTTTACGAATTTGAAGGAATTCTTTGTCTTCTGCTCTGATTTTCTGAAGAAAATCAAAACCTTCTTGTAACCTAAAATCGTCGTTTTTGAAGAAAAATGGTTCAGTCCAGAAAACTGATTTAATAGGTCTAGTTGGCGGAGGCTCGGAAGTTTTAGTTTCAGAAGTTGAAGTGCTCTTATGGGGAATATCTTCAAGTTGATCTTCATCGTCCGAAGAATCATATTTAAAAGGATTACCGAGCAGTCGGCTTTTCTTAATCTCTTTTTCTGTGCTTCCTTGATTTTGATCTAAAATAATACATATAAAATTATTAATACATAAAACCTCTTTTAAATAAACTTACTATCATTTTCTTCAGTTGCTTTTCCAAACATGCTCAATAAACTGAATGAAGGTTTCTCAGCAAATGTTTCTTTTAATGTTTCAGGTACTTTATAAAAAACTTCTTTGGATACTTCGGGCCCCTGCTGTTCCTCTTCTGCGATTTTGTCTTTCTTTTTCTTTTTCCTCTCAGGCTCAGCTATTGTTAGCTCTAGATTTGAATGTTCTGGTTGAGATGGATCAAATTTTAACATTGTTTTCCTAGTAGAAATATTTGGAATTATTAATTTGAAAAATTTATTTTGTAAAAATTATACCTACCTCTCTTTTTTATTATTTAATGATTTTGAAGTTATTTTTTTGCCAAGAACTTCCTCCAAAATTTTAAATTGTTTATTTTTTTCTGCTTCTAGATTTTCCTCAGTATCCATCATTTCAGAATCATTATTTTCATCTTCTGTTTCCATAAATCTTGCATCTAATGAAAACCTTTTATCGTTTTTGTATTTTGATTGTAGTTCAAGAAGCTAAAACCATAATATTATTTTTATAATACATAAAACCAGCATAATAGATATTTATTTTATTAGGAGTATAACCAATACTTATGTGACGCGCATGGAAGTTTGAACGCCGAGCGCAGCGAGTCGAAGCAAATCCATGCAAGTTACGTGAAGAATACTTATACTCCGAATGAAATATATACAATATTTTATTTTCAAACAATCTATATTCGGAATAGTGCAGAATTTTTAATTTAAATAATGCCATCCATATTTAGAAGGATCACCTTTTTAAGCACCTATACCTGTATGTACAGGTAAACTACCTTAAATCGCTATGGAAAAACATGTGTAACGGCGTATAAAGGTACGGTTTTTTAGGAGAGTACGCGACGCACAACCACAGAATACATATCCTCACGGATAGAAGGCAAACTGCCTAATAAAATTTTGGGGAACAATGCGCCGTTACGGCGCGGTGGATGCGATCCGAACTATTTATAATAAAGGTTTCTGTAATCAAATCAGCTTTCAAAATAGTTCTTCCAATGTCAATATTTCCATTTTTCAATATTAGATTTGTTCGGACTTCAGTTCAGAATTGAACTACGCTTCCGCATTCCTTTATATAGGTTTGATATGACCAAATGCGCAAGCGCAGTCCAATTTAGAACTGATTTTGAACTGAAATCCAAACAAACCTTCTTCCTCATTATTGAATATTGACGGATTTTTCTTCCGAGTAGAGCAAAAACGGCCAAACTTCTTGTGTTTTGTGTAAAATCTGATTTTTTTTTTGAAATTAAGAAACATTTATCTGGATTTAAAATGCACACTAACACCATACCAACACCAAGAAGAATTCTCATTCAGAACTATTTTGACATATTTTTTTTAAACATAGGTAACAGGTAAACTGCCAAAGTAAACTGTGACATATTTTCTGGTGGCGTTCATTCCGCAGCTGTAGTTCTGTTTCACTCCAGCGTCCCCAAGCGGATGCGATCCGAAGCTTTTTTTTTAGGCCCCGCCCTCCATTAAGCTTTTTTTTCTATCCGTGAGGATATGTGTTCTGTGCGCACAACTGACAACGTAAACGTCGTCATTGGTTCAGGTATGACGTACACCCGTTACCTGATGTCAGCGTCAGCGTCAGAAAACGGTACGGTTTGTTAGGATAGTACGCGACGCACAACTGACAACGTTAACGTCGTCATTGGTTCAGGTATGACGTACACCCGTCTTCTGACGTGAGAAAACGGGTGTACGTCATACCTATGGTCATACCTGAACCAATGACGACGTTTAGGTTGTCAGTTGTGCGACGCGTACTCTCCTAACCAATGGGTACATTCAGGCGGTGCCAGCGGCTTAGTTCAGCCACTCAGCGAGAACTTCATTCTCGAAACAGGGGAGCAGTGTTTTCATGAGAACGAAGGTTCTGTCTTTGTCGTCCTGCATAACACTGACAATGACAAAGCAATCGTTTTTATGAGAACGCTGTTCCTTCGTTTCGAGAATCAAGTCCCTGCTGAGTGGCTGAGCTTAGCCGCTGGGACCGCCTGAATGTACCCAATGAACTATAGCTAAAAACTGGAATGCGCACACATTGCCATATCTGCCAAAAAAATGAAGCCATGAAAGACAGATGCCATAAGGGGGAATGTTGTTTTTTTCTGTTACTCGCTGACATATTATGACGTTTTCGAAAGTTTTGTTATATTTCCCTTCACAGGTTTCATCGATTGGCATACGTGTTGGAAGCAATTTTCGCCATTTAACATAATGAGTGCGACAAAAACAGGTATCCCCTCCACAGCAGCCGCACTAGGCTTCACGTTCGTCCTTATGTGTTAGCATTCCAGTTTTTGGTTATAGTTCATTGCTCCTATTTGTTAGGTGAGTACGCGTCGAACAACTGACAACGTAAACGTCGTCATTGGCACAGAACAAATCACCTCTAGAAAAGTATCTGCAATGTTATGTACCGGTTATGAATTACAGAGCCATCGTTGACTGAAAACCCAACTAATCGAGCATTCTTGACAAAAAGGCGAATTGATTTTTTTCATATATTTTTATTATTTTTAAATAATTTTTAATGTTCAACTGCATTTGGCTTGCTGACTCCTTTTAGCTCTTTTCGCCTCATTTTTTTGAAAACTATGACTGGCAGGAATTTTCCGATGTGGAACATAGTGCAAAAAGAGTTAGTAAGTTAGCAAGAGACGCGCAGCTATAGGTAGATCGCAAAGTAAATACGAATAATAAATACAAATAGGAACGAAACGAAACAAACGAGTAAATACAAAAAAATACGAACAAAAATTAGGGTTTTTTTCAACCAAAACTTTTTGAATTTTCACTTTAACGCGCGTGGGGACCATGGTTTACAACAACACAATTTAAATATTCAAATTTTGACTTTTAAAATGACAAAATAAATGACAAAACCAACCAACACAAATCACTGTCCACACCACAGATACCTGTAAATTTCTCTTATCTCCCGACAGTGTCGCCATCGTTCAATGAAAACCTAACTAAAAACCTTCGTCGCGATTCTCTCATTTGAGATATTTTTCTATAGGTAATATGTTCTGTGGTCATTGGTTCAGGTATGACCATTGGTATGACGTACACCCGTTTTCTCACGTCAAAAGACGGGTGTACGTCATACCTGAACCAATGACGACGTTTACGTTGTCAGTTGTGCGACGCGTACTCTCCTAACAAACCGTACCTTTAGTGTTATACTCCGGCGAAGTATAACACCGCCGCTCAAGCTGAAAGTCATTGAAGTGACACTTATACCTTGTCAAAAAGATCACAAAAATTACTGTTATATGACGTTTGAAAATAAAATCCATTAGGTTTCCATACTATGAGAGCCCGTGACACAAAAGTCTCAGTCATCTGTTAGAAGGCAGTTTTTTGGAGGGATCTTATGTCAAGTCCTCAACCAACTAAAAAACGTATTGGTTGGTGGGTTTCGGTGTGCAGAAACTGAGGGGTGGATGAATTTTCACTACCCCAAAATAAGGCTTTCTGCCTTATGAGTCAGAAGCTTTTTTTTTGTTGTGAATGAATAATATGAACCTACTGAGGCCTGAACAGAAACGGTTGGCGGGCCTTCCCCCTCCCTTCACCATGCCCACCGCGTTTTAAGTAAGGTTCGCAAGGGAAGTTTTTACCCCACGAGTCAGAAGGGCGAAAAAAAAGTGGAAATTAAACATTTCCACTTCCTCGTCCGTTCTGCGCTGGGTTGGCGCTCTATTGTTTATTTAAAATTATTTTAAAAAAATGTTTCTACAAACGTGTTAAAAATGCAATTTTTAACACCCCTCCGTAGCATTAAAAATGTTACTTTATCGCACTAGTGCCATAAAGTCTTTATAGCACTAGTGTTAAAAATGAAACGTCAAATTTTGAGAGCGAACGTCAAAAAAAGTTTGTATTTTTAGTTATTTACATTGATATTAATGGTGAAATTTGAACAACTGAGGTAGCATCCATCATCTATATTTTTTCAGGGATCGATGCAACCCTCTTTTTCTTCTGTATTTTCTTGCATTTTTAGCAAAAAGCATTACTGACCACGACAGACTTTCAAAAAACTGACAAGGTTTTTGGGAAATTTTGTTGTTTTTTCCCTCGTTATAATTTAAAGACATAGTGGGGGTTTTTACATGAATAAAAAAATAATATACAAATTTATTAACTCAAATCCAAATTCAAAAATTCATTACTAAAAAACTTTAAGGTAACATAATATTTATTCTGGTTCTTCATTCGATTCACCAATTTGTGTTTCTTCCGTGTCTGGTTCTCTTTGAAACCTCACATTTTCCTCCAATATATCATCAAGTTCCAAAGGCGTTGGATTTCCTTGAAACCAAAGCGGTGTCAAGCGGCCTTCATCGACGATCCAACCAAAATCTTCAACATTGAAGAATGCACAAACAGAAAGAGTTGCATTTTTCCACATGGCTGTGACATAAAAGTTTCGAAGAATCTTTTGTTTCAAGGAGACGACGCATGGAGGTATTAATGTTAAATCGAATCCTCGCAGTTTACTGTCCAGAGAAAATAATTTCATGAGAAAAAATTATACTTACATTGTTACGTGCGCAAATATCTTCAAATTCAAATTTGTATTTTTCCATAATATTTGTCACATTTTTATAGCAAATCGAGTGGTAGCCGAACTGCAACAGCGAATCGCGGGTGAATTCCAAATCATGATATTTGAAATTCTTAAATCCGTCGAAATTCTATGCAATTAATACATTTTATTACGGCCCACTTTTTGAAAGTTTTCAAATCATCACCAAACTTTCTTACACAAAAAACACTTTTTATTTTCCATTTCAAAAAACTGTTTGACGAGGCAGAAAAATTACTTTGCACTGCCTGTATGGTACCGGGTAACAACGAATAAGCTAGAGTTCTAGAGGCGATTTTGGACTACTGCGATACTAAGGTCCATATTCTCCGTAGTTCATAAAGCCTGGCTTAGTGGAAAAGCTCGGCTTTGTCACACAAAAAGCCAAGCGTTTCCAGTAAGCCAGGATTTATGAACTACGGAGAATATGGCCCTAAGTTACACTGCGTCACGTGCATAAAAAACCAAAAAATTCAAAATTTTATAATGACGTTTCCGGTTGGTAGAACTAATGCCAAGAAACTGTATTTCTATCTGCTTATTTAACAGGCTGAGAGAAAGAGATGGAAATAAACTTAATGCGCATTTAACCTTGTCTGCAAAAAAAACCCACATCAGATCTTGACTCAAATTTGACATAAACCTCGGCATAAACATTCATTGATCGAATACCAATACTTTGGTTTATCGAAATTTTGCGTTTTTCTTAAAATGGAAAATTTGGCAAATAGTATATGTGTATACCTATAGTTGTATATTTTCAAGATTTAGGTCGTTACGGATTATTTCTAAGAAATGCAGAAATTACCCAAAAAAATCGAAAAACTAAAGTACTTACATATTGGTATCGTAGATAATC